TGTGTGTGTGTGTGTGTGTGTGTGTGTGTGTGTGTGTGTGTGTGTGTTTGTGTGTGACAGAGAGATAGAGAAAGAGAGTTGGAGGCTCAGTCTTTACTGAAAGGTGATTTAGAAATGCTATTGGTATTGTTTCTGAAGGTGTTTACTGGATTTTTTCTTTTACAGTTGAAGACTGTGAAGTGACATGGAAATGTAATGCAAAGTTTTTAATATTACTCAAATTTTACTTACAGTGGGGTAAGTAAAAAACAGTGTTTTCAAACTTCATGGTTTTATTTTGGTTCACTCCATCCTTGAATTATGCCGGCTAAAACTAGGGTGCAATAATTATGTTTAAATCAGCTACACACATCCTCCAAAGCTCTATCTCTCCATTCCCAGTAAATGTTTTTTCTTTCAATAAATCTCAGTTTATTCCATTATTTAATCCCAGATCCTTATTTTCTGGACAAGGATACAAATGGTCCATAAGCAAATATGGGAAACACTACAAACACCTGTCAGGTTAGATAGAGCGTATAAACAAACTTCTTATTCATAGGGAAATTGTGGCATACAATTTCACATGTCAAACTTTTTTTTCAAACTCAGAAATACAAAACATTACGGTCAGGTGATAGATGAAAAGTAAAAAATCCTGGATAATTCTTTTGTCACTTATATGTTCAATTAATTCTCAACTTCAATGTTTTCACATTACTGGTTTCGACACAAAGAATATGAGTCATAAATCAATCATATCCCCTAAATAAATGTATAAAAATGAAACACTTAGTTTTACTCCACCACAAAGTTGCTATTTGTCCACTTGGACTTAATCTTCTCCACACTAGTGAAACTGAAGCCTAACAGTCAAACCAAATCAACCAATAGCAGATCAGACAATCGTACACATTCCTGGCACTGCGACTGTGTTCAAGTGGGTTAGGGTTAGGGTTAGAAAAACATCCACGATAGTTTATTTATGGTAAGTGTTTCCAGCTGTTCTAGTGCACATCAACTCCTCTTAAAAATGTCTTTAATTGGATTTAATGTATTTAATCAGTTATACATTTTCTTGACTTTTCAAATGGAATCTCTTTTTTAAAAAAAAGTGAAATGTTTTAAATTCCTATGTGATTATGTTGAACCTTTCTTTCTTTACATATATACAATATATGTATATATGTACAAAAGTTCTAATAATTTCCCCCCTTGTATATATGTAGAGGATGAATGGGGAAAAAAAGAATTATAACATTTGTACTGGTGTATTTAGCATTTGGTTAGTGCTTTTTATTTTGTAGAATGGTGTACTACAAATGAACAAGATTTCACTCTAAGTAACCTAACTAATACTAATTATTCAACCTTTTCCAAGAGATTCAAATTAGACTTAAACTTAGACTTGACTTTATTTATCCCTCGGGATGACTCCTTCCAGGAAATGAAATGCTTAAAGCACAAGCCAGAATGATTACAAGCAAGAAGCCCACATAGGAGTTTACGAATTTAAATCAGCTTTCTAATGAGACAGCATTAGATACATTTCTAAAATGCAATATGTCACATTAGAGCTACATGAAAAAAAACTACCTTTTGCTTTTATGTTTTGTCCTGTACCAGTTTGACTATTTAACTCAAGATAACTTTTTGAGTGTGTTTGTAGGAGAGGGAAAGTGTGTTTTTTCTTCCCAGGGCTGACTCATCCACCTCCCTGTGTTTACTCATTTAGGCCAGAGAAGTTCTCTGGAAAATATGCATCGTTATAACTGTCTCTTTGTGAAGCACCAGGCCTCTGTAATATTTCTCACCTAGGTGAGTGTGTGCCGATGCCAGAGCAGGGACTCCATCGGTTAACCCTCCACTCACCGGGCAGAAACAGTTATGTGTGTGTGTGTGTGTGTGTGTGTGCGATTGTGTGTGTGGAGCAAAAAAAAAAAAAAAAAGCTGTGGGAAACCTCTGGTGGCTTTTCAAGCAAACTTCATATTCCAGAGCAGACGTTCGCTCACTGTGTGGGATGAAGATGCCCGTCTTTTCCTTCATTTGGCTCTGTCACTCACGTTTTGAGTTGTTTTGTCCTTTAATCGCTCTCACCGCGCAACACCTGAAACACACACACACGCACACACAACTGAAGTTCAAGCCGAGTGTTTTGTTTCTACAGCAACAGACAACTCTTCCCCCTGACTTCCCCCTACAGCCATGATCAGCAAACAGAATCTTGATTTCAAGGCACGGGGCAGCTTCCTGTTGTGTGTCTGCGTCTGTTGGGGGTCAGCGGAGTCTGAGGGCCCGGCGGGCGGGGGTCAGGTTCTGTATGCAGCTGCTTTTTTAACACTCTCTGTGTCTCAGTCCTCCAAAATAAAAAGGAAGAGGCTGCTGAATGATACGGGATGCATAGGTGTGAGAGAGCCCCTTTACATTTATGGCCTCTGTAGAACTGGAGGAAGTGGAGCAGTAAAGTGGAGTCGCGCTCCAAAGCCCTCACTCAATTCCAAGTACATCACAGGGAGCAGAATCAGAGGTGACAGAGACAGAGAAGGCTGAGTTCTGGATCATAAAAACTCGGGTTTATCTGGGCTGCATGAAGCTGCAACTGAGCATCAGCTATCTGAAACAGAGAGGAGGCAGGGGCTTTTCTTTTCAGGGGATTAATAAAAACAAACAGATCCAAATCTGATGTATGAACTGTTACACAGCTATAGAAAAAGCACTTATCCACAATTTTGTGGATAAATCACGATAACTAATAAATTGTTTTTGATGTGCTGTAAAATGGAAGTTTTAGCTGTACATTGCCATACATTTTAAGACAGAATTATGCTCTCTAGACACTAACATTGTTGTACTTTTAATATGTCAACTAATAACTGAAGACGCCCAATATGTTGGGTTTTCTTTAGCTGTTTTGCCGTTCAAATGTTACACACTTTACTGATAAAAAGGGTTACATCTTCAGCAGGGTTGTGTTTGATCTCTTTATTCTTCCAGATTCTTATTTTTTATAACGCATGCACTTTTACATAAAGGAATGTTGTTTGATATAATCATATGCTAAATTAAAAACGAAACAAATCATAACTAGGTAGAATTAAATGTTGTATCATTTCTGAAAGTGAAAAGTTGTTGAACAGTATGAGGTTAGAATCTCAAGCACTCTTTCATCCCTTTCAAAGCTCAAGAAAATATTTTTGTTGTTGTAATAATTGGGAGACTTCCCATTTGTGATTTGCCTTCCAGCAAAATATAAACGTGTTAAAATGAAACACAGCTTTTACTCCTTTACTGTAAAATGATCCATCATAATCCAGTTAACACTTAAGTTAACAGTTAAGGCTGGGAAACACAAAAATGATTTTGTGTTAAAATACACAAAAATCCTCTTTGTTGTCAAAAAAACTTAAATTAGATTTTCCACGTTGCCATGACGATTAATTTACCAGCTCAGGAAAATGTCTTGACACCTGTGATCTATCTAAAACAAAGGCAGCTGGCTCCTCACAGCCAGTATGTAAAGAACCGGCGTGGAAAAGCCGCTGTTTTCTTCATTTTAAAATGCAATAATTCTATTTTTTTGTTTGTTCAGACTTTTGTGGCTGTTTCAAATCATTCAGGACGTAACAAAGCAGCAGACACATACTTGTTACAGTTCTGTAGCCCGGAACTTTCCAGTGCCATCAGGGACAGTGAGGCAGAAATGTCTGTCCGGCTAAAAAACAAAAAGTGGTCGATAGATTTTTCTTTTGACTTGATGAGATCCAATCAAATGTGGACTTTTAACTATTTGTGTATGGCTTTTAACAAGGGCACGCATTTTCTTATCATTTGGGTTAATCTGAAAACAAATGACAATTGAATTTTTTATTTAACTCCACGAAAGACGACGGTGAAATGAAAACGGGGGCAATGTTCCCACATGCCGTGGAACCAAAATAGATGAGTGCGAACAGGAAGAGAAGCAGGGTGTGGACATCATTTACATCTTGAAAATGTAAAAATTCGCAACCTTCACCGACTCACTGGGCACACTTTTCTGTCATTAAATAAAAGCCTCCGTCTAAAAAATGCAGGTCGATTATTCCATGTTACCAGACAGTTACTCAGAGTTCAGAAAATCCTGTCCAGAAGCTTTGGTATTTAATGTGAGAGCCTGTGGGAGTCATGCTGGCCTATTATGCAAATCCAGGCATCACTTACAACCCATCCACACTTTGGCATAACAGAAACAGAGTCCCCCCTAATGGCCCTTACTCATTTAAAGAAAAACCCTCACCCATGTGGATTTGAAGTCATAGAAGATTAAGGCGATTTGCAAATATAAAGTTCAAAGGCGATGTTTCCCCCCTCTAAGCTTCCTTTTCCTTTGTTTGCACTTTTGGTTGTGGCAGACATGAAATAAATGTCAATCCCAAACTTCCAACCAACAGGCCTTTGCAACTAGAGTTCGAGTTCATTCTCTAGTTGGAAAATGTGTTGATGGCAAACTATCATTTACTGTTTCGTTTGACAGATCCTGAACATTCAGATAGAATAAGGCCTCAGTGGGGCGGGATTTGAAGAGGCTGAGACGAGGTGAGCCCGCACAAACCACGCCCCGCATCCCCATGAGGTCCCTTGGGGCCCATAAATTTCAAGGCCTCGGCGAGTTTCAACCAGTAAACGCTCGGGCCTGTGAACGCAACGGCGAGCCCCAGTCCTCTCCAGCTTGCAGGATATAGCCTTGTCTTCTTCCCATCTTGGAAATATGACCTCCTCGAACCCTGACCAGCGGCTGGAGCATCTCCTCAGCGCCGTCGAGAGCGAGTTTCAAAAGGGCAGCGAGAAGGGAGACGTGTCGGAGAGGGATATTAAACTCACCCTGGAGGACGCCGAATTGTGGAACAAGTTTAAAGAGCTGACCAACGAAATGATTGTCACCAAGACTGGGAGGTAGGTTCAGGGGAGGAGGCCGCGGCGGTCGGCTTTACGCACAGGTTTTTGGCACAGTTTTACGCACGAGGTTTCCAGCGCGAACAAACAGTGGTTTATATTTTTAAGATAAATTAAGACCTTAATTAAGATGTTTTCTTTTTCTATCATATTACTTTTTAGATACGTTAACGAGCACTGTCAGATGTTCAGTCCGTGAGGCCTTGCGGCCTCGGAAAGTTTAGAAAAATGGAAAATAAAGTTGTTTTGTGTGTGACATTTAAATAGAATTAAATGTTTGATACAGGAATGAGATGCGTACAGAAACACTCCGTGTCCATGTTTTGCAGGAGGATGTTTCCTGTTTTAAGAGCCAGCGTGTCTGGGTTGGACCCGAACGCGATGTATTCGGTGCTGCTGGATTTCGTGGCCGCGGACAACAACCGCTGGAAGTACGTGAACGGGGAGTGGGTGCCCGGCGGCAAGCCGGAGCCCCAGAGCCCCAGCTGTGTTTACATCCACCCGGACTCCCCCAACTTCGGGGCCCACTGGATGAAGGCTCCGGTCTCCTTCAGCAAAGTCAAGCTCTCCAACAAACTCAACGGCGGCGGACAGGTGAACAAAAGCCCCCAAAAACCCTTCTTCTGATGAAACGTGATAATAGTAAACATTAGAGCATCCTCACAAAGAATAACCTGAGAATTTGGCATGTCAATATATTTTTGAATGACCGACATTGTTGAATTGTATTGTTTTTTCCTAATAATATGAATAAAACTTGACCATTTCCCCTTGTTTTTAAACGACTTCTTGCACTGCATAAACTGTATCTCCACATGATGTGCTAAAAATACCTCTGCCTGAACAGAACAATAACATTAACTGTGATATTCCTTCAGATCATGCTGAATTCTCTGCACAAATACGAGCCGAGGATACACATCGTGAAAGTTGGAGGCATCCAGAAGATGATCAGCAGCCAATCGTTCCCTGAAACGCAGTTCATTGCCGTCACTGCGTATCAGAATGAAGAGGTCTGTTCTGCTATAATAGTTCATATCCTCATTGTCAAACTGGATGTGTAGTCTGAAATGCAAACGGCTGTATCCTGTATGCAGATCACTGCTCTCAAGATCAAGCACAACCCTTTTGCCAAGGCCTTCCTGGACGCCAAAGAAAGGTACTCATTTAAACTTTAAACTCTTTTTTAAAAATGTCTTGGCTATTGCAGCAGGAACAGAGCAACTGACACTGCTTCTAATTACAGGAGTGACCATAAAGAAGTCCCTGACCACAATGCAGACAGCCAACAGTCTGGGTATTCTCAACGTGAGTTGGACATACTTAATATAAAAAAATCATGCAAAGAGGATGAGGATGAGGATTCACTTTTTTAAATAGGATAAGCTTTGACTCAACTGCATTTGAAAATAAAAGCAGGTGTAAGGGGTTAGGGGGGTAAAGGTATTGATGACGGGTTTTGGGGGACTTGCAGGTTTCACCGAAATGCTGGTCACCAAGTGTCAACGTACTTTTCTACGGACAGCTTTGACAGATGTGTGTCTTTTCCCCCGCAGTGGGAGGTTGGTTCCTCCCCGGCCAGAGTCCCATCTGCCCCAGCAGCAGCCCCCCCCAGTTCAGCGGCACGGCGGGCCACTCGTCCGGCTCCTACTGCGAGCGCTACTCCAGCCTGAGGAGCCACCGGGCGGCGCCCTACCCCGGCCACTACGCCCACCGGACCTCCAGCACAAGTGAGGAGACCCACTGGGCCTGTTGTCCAAATCTTGACGTAACGAGTCAACGAATGGCAGATTTGATATTAATTTGCTCGACCTCTTATCGCATTTCCAGACAACTACATGGACAACACCTCAGGGACTCTGCCATCTCATGACAGCTGGTCCACCCTTCAGATCCCTAACTCAACTGGCATGGGAACTCTGTCACACACCACCAACTCCACATCTAATTCAAGGTGATCGATCATATAAGGGTTCTATCCCTAATAGAGGTTGTCTTCAAAATGTTACCAATTCTCTAGTTAAAGACTTAGATGAGCACTACGTCTTCATCCCTTGAAGAAAGGCGGTACCTTATCTCGGCAGAATGGGGACAAGTGGGATTATTGGGATTGGGCTATGGTGTTTTGTATTTATTTAAGCGTTTTATTTAAGTCTTCCCGTCTAACCCCGTCTTTTGTGTCGTTCTCAGTCAATACCCCAGCCTGTGGTCGGTAGCCGGCACCACGCTCACCCCCTCAGGCTCAGCCTCAGGCTCCATCCCCGGAGGTCTGACCTCCCAGTTCTTGAGGGGCTCTTCCTACACCGGCCTGACCTCCTCGCTACCAGTCTCCTCTCCATCCTCCATGTACGACCCCAGCCTGAGCGAGGTCGGGGTCGGGGACGCCCAGTTCGAGAGCTCCATCGCCAGGCTCACGGCGACCTGGGCGCCCGTAGCTCAAAGTTACTGAAGCTTCGACTCTGAATGGTGAATGGAAACGTCCAGAGCAGTACTAAAGACTTTGAAGAGTACAGGTCCTGGAGGAGAGGCAGCGGTATCGCAAGACCTGTAAGGATGTTTGTGAAAGAGCTTAGATCATTCATTCCAGAGTCTTGGAAACGACAGACTGAAGTGAGCCGACAGTCTGTAATGACAGTCAGTTTCACTCCAAAACAATCAGCCTTAGACTCCTTTTTAGCAGGGAAAACCAAACTGAGAGAAACACTCTGGATTCACACTGTGAATGACGACAGTAACGTGCATGTCTAACATTCTTCAAAGTGATGTTGCCTTAACATTTGATGCTATTTAAGAAAAAGAACAGTGTTATTTCCTTTTGAGTGGAATTTGATGGCCACTTTACCTTCTCATGGTGGAAACACATCCTTGTGTCCAATCTATTGGTTCTGTTTCATGGTTTTGCTATCAGTTCCTCAACGTACGTTCGAATTGTTTCTTTTTAGCTGCTTGGTCTGAACTCTTTGCTCTTAAATCTCAACACGTCTGTTCTCCGTTTTGTCAACCCAATTCACAGATATTTTGCTTTTAACTGAAAGAGACCAAAAAAAAGAAAAAAATAGAGCTTCCGCTAATATGAATGTGTGTATATAATGTGTGTATATAGAGTAAGTTAACGCCTAAGTTTTGTTTGTTTTTGTTTTTGTTTTTTTTCCCATATAAATGTGCCTTTTCTAATTGCAATATAAATGTTACAAGTCGAGATCAACAAGTGCCTTCTGCTTCCTGGCAGGGTTTTGACGGTAGGAGAACAAACCAAAAAAAAAACTCCAAGCAAATTGTGCTATGCTCAAACACCTGTACATACTCTTTATCTATTTGTATTTGATCCTGCTTGAAGTTTTATTTATGTCATTTAATAATAAATTAAAAGTATTTGTTTTTCTCAGTCATGCCTTTTGTGGTGTCCCTTTGTCTCCTTGATTTATATGATTTTATATGATTTCCACGTCATTTGGAAAAAGAATTAGTAATATCGAGAAGCACAGACCACCCGTGCCTGTCCTAAAATCCAGAATCTGTGAACTCAAAGTGCAAATGGGAGCTTCTGCTGAGAAGTTCAACGGAGTGCCTTGTAGAAGCAGACACCTGCCATAATTTGAAAACACCTCTGGGCTTAGCGTGGAGGAGAAGACTCACTCGACTCACAAATCATCAAACTTGGCTGCGTCTTATGAGCTTTCTTAAAATAAAGCGGTGGCACCGTCATGCTAAGTGAACAGAGCTCCCCCTGACATGCGACTGAAATGAGGACGTGATGGAGAAGTGTCCAGTTTGAGGAGTCCATCTGTGGGTACGGCGGGCCATCACCGGCACCCTTTTGCTACAATCTGCGTGGTGGTGCGACATACGGCCAACACATTCAGATCTGCATGTGAGGAAGCTCAAAAGAATATGGTCACAAAATGTGAACATCTGGGACTAAATTAAATGGGATAAGCTATCCTCCTTATTCATTTATTCACGGTTAGACTTGAAACCGAGTCTAACTGGAAACCAAGCGTGACTGGAGCTTCGAACCTTTTTACTCCAAACCACTGACTTCACAGAGTTAATCCTTTAAAGCCTGATCCAAGAATAAAACAAAACAGAAAATTACTCTTTTTTGGTTTTAAGTCTTTATTTGGCCTTTTAACAAAATATGTAAAAAGAAAATTTTAATATTAATAATTTATTACTATGCGATAACTCAAGATTATTTTTTGTGTAGTCTTCTGTCCCCTGTTATGAGGTGTATCTGATTGTGTACAAAAGGACTTTGAGCAAAGTTTTTACCATTAAATTATGCAAAAGGTGTCAGATGCAAAACATTTCAGAAACCGTATGTATCAAATATAATACATTTGACATTATAGGGTTAAAGCAATACACTTTTTCATTTAGCAGACTTGTTCATTTTGAAAGTACTGTGGATCTTGATTAAAAAGAAAATGCAAATAAAGTTAACAAACACCCGACAGCCAACCGGAGAAACAAGTGGGGAAAAAAGGCCCCCTCATTTTGGTGGCACTGGGTTGGTTTTCTTCATGCCGGAAAACAGAAAATTACTTTTTTTTTGTTTGAATTCCTTATTCGGCCTTTTAACAAAATATGTAAAATGAAAAAAACCGAAATAGATTTTTATTATTATTAATTTATCACTATGCGATAAGTCAAGATTATTTTTTGTGTAGTCTTCTGCCCCCTGTTATCAGGTGTATCTGATTGTGTACAAAAGGATTTTGAGCAAAGTCTTTACCATTAAATTATGCAAAAGGTGTCAGACGAAAAACATTTCAGAAACCGTATGTATCAAATATGATACATTTGGCATTATAGGGTTAAAGCAATACACTTTTTCATTTAGCAGACTTGTTCATTTTGAAAGTACTGTGGATCTTGATTAAAAAGAAAATTCAAATAAAGTTAATAAACACCCCACAGCCAACTGGAGAAACAAGTGGAGGGGGAAGGCCCCCTCATTTTGGTGGCATTGGGTTGGTTCTCTTCATGCCAGAAAACAGAAAATTAGTTTTTTTGGGTTTGAATTCCTTATTTGGCCTTTTAACAAAATATGTCAAAAGAAAAAACAGAAATACATTTTTATTATTAATAATTTATTACTATGCGATAAGTCAAGATTATTTTTTGTGTAGTCTTCTGCCCCCTGTTATCAGGTGTATCTGATTGTGTACAATAGGATTTTGAGCAAAGTTTTTACCATTAAATTATGCAAAAGGTGTCAGACGAAAAACATTTCAGAAACCGTATCTATCAGATATGATACATTTGGGATTATAGGGTTAAAGCAATACACTTTTTCATTTAGCAGACTTGTTCATTCTGAAAGTAGTTGGGATCTTGATTAAAAAGAAAATGCAAGCAAAGTGGGATAGCTTGCTGTCTTGTGAGCCACCTCTTGTCATCACCAACCACTTTGACCTCAAAAAACAACTCTGAGGGGATGATTTAAACCGACCGTGCCTTTCTGCTTGCGTTTTTACATTGCTTAAGTCATTCCAAAGCTTTAATCACTGCGACTTTAAGCGAACGATTTGATTCATGGCTCAAATGGTAACCATTTAATATTTGGGTTGTCAAAGGAAAAGATAGCTGATATTTGTGCCATCTACAACTTATTTTTTAAAAGACAAAAGTTGATAAACACCCGACAGCCAACTGGAGAAACAAGTGGGGAAAAAAAGGCCCCCTCATTTTGGATGCACTGGGTTGGTTCTCTTCATGCCGGAGCTCACTGTGATGTCAGTGGTGTGATGTGTGCGTGGGGCTGACAGAGGTCTGGGCCTCTGAGCGGTGATGGAGTGGTCCTCACCGAGGTGCAAATGAAGGCCTGGAGGGTCACGGGGCCACAAGTAAACAGTAATGAAGCGGCCGTGTGACCTGCAGCTGGCAGGGCCAAGCAAAGGCTCCCTCATGATTTTTTGGAGGTTTTTTGTTTTGTTTTTGTATTTTTGTACGAGTTACTGCTAGGGTTATCATGAAAATCAGATTGGCTGAGTGTCACTAAATGCTTCCACCACCTGTCGAATGCGGATACAAAGTTGGTGCATATGGTGGTACTACAAAACTCGGGGCGTCAGAAATAAAAAAGAGACAGAAACACAGTGCTCAAATTGAAAAAGGAGAGTAAGCCAGGACATTCGCTCGCAAGCAGATCATGGACTAATAAACTTGTGAATGTTGGGTATGTTGGGATTTCCTGAAAATTCAGTAGCATGAGCTGGTAGTGGCACCTAAGATGCACAATACATGGCGTGACAGGTAAAATGAAAAAAGAAGGACCTACAGTGTGAGACAAACTGTGTATGGTAGCGGTCTTTAAAAAACTGTTAAAGAATTTTTGTTTTTAGATGTAGCTGCCCTAAGCCAACCCATGGGGGTGCTGGTCACATGTTCCAACTGCCAACTCACCATAACTCTGTCTTAATAATAACTGTTTAATTATTTGAGGGGTGCTGACCTAATCACACCATTCACAACTTTAAATAGTTGGTAAGAAAACAGTGGAGCGAATGAGAAAATAAAAAATAGCTGTGGCACCAGAATGGGAGCTGGTTTAACTCACATTTATATCCATTATGACAAACTGCGTACACAGAGATGATCAGGACAGAATCCTGTCTGCCTTTGACACAGTGCTGCCTGGGTGTCCATATCTAAAGTAACATGACTTACTGGAGGTGATGGAAGATGCCTAGCCTTGCAATTTGTTATAATTTAGACATAAAATGCCTTTTGTTTCCTATCTTCTTTTGATGAAATATTGGTCTATGGCATTTTCAGATCCTGGCACTGTTATTTCTTTCAAATTGGACACAAATGATTGATTTGAAAATGGTAACATAACATGTCCAATCCTAGGGAGCTTAAGTTCTTGTATGTTCATATATACTGTATATACACAGTATATACAGTGGGGGAAATAAGTATTTGACCCCTTGCTGATTTTGCAGGTTTGCCCACTTACAAAGAATGCAACGATCTATAACTTTAATCATATGTACATTCTAACAGTGAAAGACAGAATCCCAAAGAAAATTCCAGAAAATCACAATCACAGCATTCTTTGTAAGTGGGCAAAACCTGCAAAATCAGCAAGGGGTCAAATACTTATTTCCCCCACTGTATATGTATATTTTGTGTATTTTAAACAATTACAACAGCATACATTTAATCTATCTTTTACAAATGGATAGACTTATTTGGTTATGAAATAGTGTCTAAATAAAATGTGATTAGTTAAAGGTGTGCATTTGCAAGCGCTTTGAAAAACATAGCATGTTCTGACCCAAAGGACACTAAGAATAATTAAAACGATAATAAATACAAATTATAAACCAAATTAATCTAACAATATAAACTCAATAAAACCCAATTCAGAATACAAAAAAAGTAAGAATGAGACTAAAAATGAAATGAAAACAACAACCCAAACCATCTCATAGAAATGGATTCTAAAGACTAGTTTGAAATAATCTCTATTACCCTTTAGAGTTGGCTGAATGAGCAGCCACAACTGACATCAGTGTGTAATCTAACGTATTTAGTCCACTGGTCATAACCACTTCTCCTGGATGCATGCCGGAAGTTTGTTAGTAAGCAACAGGAGCCAAAACTAAAAAGAAGATCAGCCTTTTGTTTTCATATTCGGAGGTGCTGCATGTGTTCACATATGCGTGCGTGTCTTTATGAGCAGTGGTCCAGACACTGGCGAGGAGGATGTTTGCTGATGGTCTTTGCTCAGTCTGGAGCCGTAAACAGGTCCTGCTGGGGCCAGGAGCCATACCTGCCCTCTCAGTTACGGCGTGTGTGTTTGTGTGTTGATCCAAGGGACCCTGAGCTGACTCAAGTCTTTGTCTTTTAAAATGCTGATATCCTCTGTACACCCCAACCTGCAGCCACTGTTGGCCTTCGCTAATTGACAATTGAGGGGTTTGACTTTGCACACCGGCCTCCTCTCCACCCCTGGAAGTGTGTGTTCTAAATACGCTTTACAAAGTGTGTCCGGCACCGAGGTGTGGAGAACGGGGTCCTTTAAATAACAGTTGCCGGGATAGATTTCTGTTGTGTGCTTATTTGTTTTAGCTGTTTCGGAGAGCGGTGCGGGTTTAGTTTGTGTTCCAGCATGTGTTGGCTCAAAAGAAACGGA